AGGAGCAAATTAACACAGACTACACACATTATTGAAAAATATAGGACAGTAACGTGTCATTGTATTAATCAAACTTATTTCTACGGCAGCAGCAAATTAGATTCAATACAAAATAAATGGCAAAGACAGAGCGAAAATGCCGGGGAAAATTGTCAATGAATTCGCCATCTGAGAAGCCATGCCAGTCACCACGAGCGAATCAAATGAGTTTCAACCTCATTTGCGACCCTCATACAAGAAAAATTCCAGATAATATCCAACATAAAGCTCTCAAACAACGGCACTTTTACAGTAGCGGCAAGTCCGCCAACAATCATTGAACGATTTGCAAAGAGGAAGATGGGTGATGGAACGCTGGGAAACCAACCTGGACCGCCATGCAACGGGACAAGAACGTACAGTTGAGTGGGCAACATGAATACAATATCAACAAAACATGCTCTCAACACAAATCAATTAATATGCAGGTTATCGGGCCGCAAAACGTACAAGCATTCTGGGAGCTCTCGCCGAAGAAGTGAAAACTTGTGGGCTGGTTGCGCCAAATTTCAGCAAATTTTGCTGCATACAGAAACCGAAAGATTTAATGAAATTATACGATCGGTTATTTCCTGTAAATACATTGATCAATGCGAAGAAATCGGGTGGAGAAAATTTGACCTGTTTCTTACCTTTTGTGCTGTTGGCTTTAGGTGTGACGTCATCGCGGCATTGCTTTTTGCACACGGCACTGTTTCCCAAACAAATGAACATCGACACCTCGGTCGGGGTTCAATACATGGTCAATATTGCAAAGAATTACCATTGTCATAATTCACACTATTAAAAAATCTTGTTCAAAACAAATCCTTTTTCCAGGGAGAAGATAAATAAGACAACAATTACATTAGATGAATTTTTCGCTTTGATATATGGAAAACTTCAATTCAAAATTAATTATTTATTTGAATTTGTTTGTCTTTGGATTTTTTTTATATTTTTTGAATACTTTGCTTATTGCTTTGCAAGGTCACATGTGAAAAAAAAATTGGGTCTGCACCTAATTTTTTCTAGATAAATGTAAAATTACTGTATGTGTAAATAATACATGGGACTCTATGGAAGGAAATGTAAATACGTTGGATTAGAAAAAATATATGCGTTTTTTTAAAACTTGAAGTAATGAAACCATGTGGGGGGTACACACCTATTTGTAAAGAAGGTGAGAATGTGTTCTCACTAGAAAATGCCTGCACATCCACTTTGAACAACACAACTTATTCTAAGAAATGTATTTTCTAAAGGAATACCAAAAAAATATATATATAATTGTCTTCTATATTTACCAGGGATATATAAGAATGCTATTAACTTTCTATATAATGCTGATACAGCAAATCAACGTTTAATTTTGTAACAGAAATTTTCTAATACTTTGTAAACAAATATACAAGAATTTGTAGTTCTTTGAAAACGTCCACACTTTTTAATCCCTAAATTCTGAATATTTTTGTCGTCATCAGTCCACCAGGCACGAAGAAACAAATAATAGACTGAATGCATACATATAATACCATACATTACAGTGATTACTAGTATACAAATTACATTTTTCATTCTAAATATAGTTTACTCTATAGTATTTAAAAAAAAAACATTATTTCTTTGTTAATTTAATCTACAGTATTAAATAATGTTAAACAATATTAAAAATATACATGTTTTCATCCATAATGCATCTTTAAATCTAGTGAACATGTCTCCTACTACAGAGGCTCATGAATATGACCCAACTAACATGGAACACTAACTTGGCAATCCTACAATACTCTTCACTTAATAAGAATACTCAGCCACATAACATTCTTGAATCCCCAGTATTGGTAAACTATCCAGAATACATCTTGCCAAAAAAAATGAGATTCATAAAAACAAAATAATCTCTCACACTGGGCACTGAGAGTGCTCCAATCCAAAAGTTTGAAAATGCTAAACAAATAATAGCAAGTATTTTTTAATTGTGTCTACAGAGCCAAAGTCTATTAACAGTCCATTGTGTTGAAAATACATATGGTAAAGCTAATAAATCTCATTGTTTATTTTTCATCTGATAAAATAAAAAATAAAAACATTCTACAATTGCAATAAGGGTAACATTTCAAACTTTCCTAGCTGCTATAGAAACATCAACTGAGACATCTATCACAAAATACAAATGGTCAATGCACAAGTTTCGAGTTCTGTCGTTACCTTATAAGCGTAAACATTCAATAGCTCATCAGAACGCCGAGAAGCGAGGAAACCAGCGAATGGATTGCTATAGCTAGAAATCAACACCCCATGTCTCACACGGAAACCGACTGATGACATTGACAGTCAACATTTCAATGACAGGAAAAAATTTCAAAACATGCAATTCTGTATATGTAAGAAAATATCTTATTTTTAATTTTTAATCAGATCGGTTTGACTTGGATTGAAAAATTCATGTACAGTAATTATTTGATTCAATAAATGCACAAAATGTAGAGTAAATATTTTAAAGAATTCTCAAAATCCTGGTACATATATTGAATCCTCTCAGATTATTTTTTGTGAAATTAATTTGCTTATCTATCCCATAATGCTCAGCAAATCTATTAATGCTCATGAAAATTATGATTTAGTCTGATGTTATCATTAGTTTTCAATATTAACCTTTGACCTTTAACCTTTTGAATGCCAATTAACCTGGATAAATTTATGTAAATCAAGAATTGTAGTCATGCGGGAAATTATGTTTATTTTCATGTTCATCAATATTAAAAATGAATACTGTAAAATACTTTATTTTCGCTGGAATTAATTTTCGCTGAAAAGGCTTTTTGGGCGTTTTATATGGAATTTATTTTCACTGATTTTTGATGAATTTAATGTGAAATATAGGAAAAAAAGTATATTCGCTGGATTTTATTTTCACAGAATCATCCCTTCAGCGAAAATAGCGAAAATAAATTTCAAGCGAAAATAAAGTATTCTACAGTATTTAGAAACATATGAAAAAATGTTGCACGAAATTCTTGCTGGAGAAATTATGACGTTCAAAGGGTCAATAACCTCAGATTTCAATGTACAGATGATCAAG